CTGATCCTTGTGGAATAAACTCGAATTGTGAACCCTCCATATGTGTGGCCTCTGCTAATACATCGCAGGGACTCCTCCACCTTCGATTTTGTTTGCTCCTTTGGTAATCGACCTTCATCCACCCACTCTTGGGTCACACCTAGATATAGCACCACTCTAGGATAGTCTGTCGCCTAGTAGCTCCCGAAGTCCACCGACTTCACTGTAATTTGTGCACCATTGTCTGGATCCTGGGCCTCTGCCCCTACCATCATAATCTCCGCTGCGCACTGCTTCCTTCATGGCAACTTGAATGGCAACACTGTGGCATATTCTTCAAGAGTACCTGCCTCTGCGTCCTCTTGCCCCGTGCTAAGGCCTTCTGAACCCAACTTCGCCTCCGCAAATTGAGTCGCCTTAGTTCCTCCATCAAATGCTCCTCCGAGATAAGGTGCATGTGCCCAGAAGCTCCCTTCGCCATTGGCACCATGCAAGATGAGTCCATTTCGTCAGAATGAAGGACCCATGGAACAACATGATCCTACTCTTGCCTCTACAAGAGTTCATGTCCTTGACCTCTGTCTAAGGAAAGCACTGTGTCTCTGCTCCATGTTCCAACTTCTATGCTGGCTCCTTTCATGCGGCTTGGGTACTTCGCCAAGTTACACCCAAGTTGCTCCGCTCCTCGTTTTTGCAATGAGTCGATAGTGGCCCTCGCGCCCACTATTCCACGGGTCAGCCCTCCCTTAAGTCCGATCTCTACATCGACTCCAAGTGTGCCTTCATTTGTGTTGCTTTGGGTCGCTCCCCCACTTGATCTCGCAATGCATCCACCAATGCATTCTCTCAAGCGAGATTATGTGACGACTCCTCGCCGCTTGCTCAGTCCATCGAGCTTCGTGGAGTTGTTGTTTGTTGAGGTACTCCTCCTCAACATGTGAGGTCCGTCTCACATGATTCTCCCTCTGGAGAGACGGGACTTATCCCTCCTGGATAACTGTCCCATTGGAGCAACATCTCTCTTCGTTTCGGAGACCACCATCCCCTTGGACTACTCCGATCTGCTGAACAAGATGTGCATTGTTCTGCCTCCTGCAAACGCACTTGCCAGATTGCGACTCCCCGTCAATACAGCCCCCGCTACACCCTTCAAGGCCTAGCAACATGCTGAACTCGTTGCACACTTCAGCCTCCTACGAACGTATCCTTCACATTCCGAAGAGAAAGTTTCAATGCTCCATGGCGCCGAGTTTCGGTTGCTTTGGGATGGCCACGAACATTCCATCGTCCGCATACATGCCCATGCATGAGTACCAAATTCTTCGAGTTAGCAATTCCCCTCACCTCTGTGAGCTTTGCATAACTCTTTTGGTCGTTGAGTAACTCATTCCACTTTGCATGGTCTCATCCTTTACCAAGCGTCTCGCTTGCATTGAGCACCATCAAGTATAGTTGTCAACGTTGAGCCATAGCTCAAACTCAGCCATCCCAACCTTTGTGCGCTCCACATTCTTCCAAGCTTGTCTATTCTCGTGGTGCCTCTTGCGCGAAGGGTTGGTCATTCCTCTGAATGCCAATGTCAGATGCCCGCTCCTCCGAGCGACTCCTTTTCCCTACATCTCTATGCCCGTTTTCTCCCAAACGGTCGCGCGTGTGCTGACTGCCCTCAACGCAGCCCCGTAGGTCCCCCACGTTTGCATGTCAAGTGTTTCTATGAGTGCTTGTCCCGCTCTGATACCATCTGTCACGGACTTAGTTGGTTTTGCCTAAGTCGTGCGGCACCCTTGCGTGTCCGTCCGCAAAGGTCAGCCTCCCCGAAGCCTCCCATTGTCCCTTAGGACAACCAAAAGAGAGAACGGGTTAGAGAGAACGCCTCAATCAGGATCCACAAGCAAACATCTTCCGAAAAACACTTCATAGACAATGCAAATTACAAACAGACTTTAAAAGCTCTGAACAGTGGCACAACAAAGGGTAAAATGGTCCATTACAGATCGAGAATCTCTCGCACGTGTCCACATGACACAACCTTTATTTACAAGCCTAAAGAGGCCACCAACCCAACTAAAATGGGACTATTATGCCTTCGGCCGCCCCTCTACATGTTGTACAAGGCATGAACATGCCAAAAGACACGGACATACATAAGCATTACATCAAACATCCTGTTTCGAAGTTTGTCCGTGACAGTTCGTCGGAAGTTCTGTAGGAACCAGCCAAGAAGTCTTGGAGCTTGCCAGAGAAGCTCGTTAGAACTCGCCAAGAAGATCGTCGTGAAGTCCAGGAGCTTGCCGGGAGTCCGTTGGAACATTGCCAAGAGATCGTCGGAAGTTCGCCGGAAGATCATCGAAAGCTCGCCGGAAGAAACTAGACTTACGGACTTGTTTAGCTTAGAATATATCTTAGGAATCATAGTTAGCATGTAATTGGATTTGGATTTGGGCCAATCCAATTAGGGGCCAGTTGGGCCCATGTAAGGATTGTGTTGGGCCCAATGAGAGGTCCAAACAATGACCCAAGAGGTGACACCGTCGTAGCACAATTTTTGAGACTATGTCAGGCGGTGGTACCATTGGTTTGGGTGGTGGTACCGCCCAGACACAGCCTTCGAGAGGCTGCAGGCGGTGGTACCACCCAGTGCAGTATCAGCATCAGACTGACGTAGGCAATGGTACCGCCCAACGTAGGCGGTGGTACCACCCGTGCTTGGGAAACATAGGATGAGATGTTTTTAGGCTCCAAGTTTGAATCAACTTGAAGTCTATAAATACCCCTCTCATCCCTGGTTAAAGCATACAAGCACAAAGAATTTAAAATGAGAAAAACGCTGTAGAAATCTCTTATGAGAATCCTCCTCTAGTCTAAGTATTAGAATAGTTTGAGAGAGGAGTGAGTGCTTGTAAGGGTTGTCTCCTAAACCCAGTAAAAGAAGAAGAGGGGTGTAAGAAGGAGGTTAATCTTTGCTTATTAAAGGAAGATCGATAATGGATGCCGGTGGCCTCGACGGAAGAGGAATCGACGGAGTGGATGTAGGTCACGACGACCGAACCACTATAAAATTGGTGTGTTCTCTAGTTTGCATTTACCTTATTGCAAACTGAATTCCTATTTACCTTATTGCAAACTGAATTCCTCCTTACTACGTTTCCGTATGCTTTCAAGTTAACATCTTTACCAAACCGATTTTATCGAAACGAAACATTTTTGAAAACATGATTTTACCGTTGCACTAATTCACCCCTCCTTTAGTGCCGAACCCTTTCCTAACAAGAATAGGTTCCACAAAATACAATATAAGAATTAAAAATGATAAAATCAATTTTAATTTTTTTTCTTCCTCTTTCCATCATCAATTAAAAATGTCATTGTCCCAAACGACTTGCGGATCCATTTGAGATCAGGTTGATTAATGTGACACTAGAAGAAGGAATATTGAAGTGAAATCCAATTGGTTGGAGGTATATAATAATTCTTCTATAATTCCACTTATACCCGCCCTCGATTGACATGACTGCATTATTTTGACTGGCTTTCTAATATTTTTTTTTATATTTTATGAATAATATTTTACATGTAAATAATAATAGTTCAGAATAGATTTCATAAATTATAATATAAGAATTATATGTAGATTTTGTATTGATGAGAGTCTTATTCATAAGACTTTAATGATTAACACTAGCTTTCTAAGATTTTTTTATTTTTTAATAATGTTTTACATGCAAAGAACAATGCACACATAAAAAAAAAAACTCGGATAACAATATATGATGTTGTGAGTACTTGTCATGGCTACACTAATATGTTTCACAAAGTATAATATAAGAATTATCATTAAATTTTGTTTTGATGAGAGTCTTACTGCTCTAAAATATGATAAAATTAATTTTAATTTTTTTTTCTCTTTCGATCATCAATTAATAATATCATTCTTATAAACAACTTATAGGTCCATTCAAGATTAAGATAGATAGATTATGATGATTGGAGTAACACGAGTTAGAAGTGAAATCCAATTGATGAGAGATATATAATGATTGTTTTATAATTCTACTTTCACCCACCTCGATCATTATGTTAATACAAATTTCCAATCTGTCATCGGTGAATACTACATCTTTTCACAATAAACCAGTATGTAATGGTAAGAGGAGAAGGAGATGATACAAATAGGAAGGAGACAACAATGACATAATAAGATTGAGCAGGTAATGAAAGAGGATGAAAGATAAAAATATAAATCATCTATGGATCATTTATATTAAATCAAACTAATTTGATATATCAATATTTGATTATCATTGATACGATCTCATAAGCTTCCAATAAATTATTCATTTTAGATGTGCCTACACCATTTTATTGATATCTTGGTTCTTTATCAAACTATCAATAATATATATATATATATATATATATATATATATATATATATATATATATATATATATATATATATAAAGTGATGCTTCGGTTATATCTGACATCATTTAACATGGAATTTATGTCTGTAATGATATGTTCAGACTGTTAGGTAATGTGGGGCCTCTATCATCAACCTGAGTTCATAAAGTCGATATGATCCACCGCATCAACTTGTTAATTGTCGAAGATATTATGAGTAGAGCCCCTCCCATTTATTACATCTATGTTAAGATTCGGGCAGGTCATCACGTCGGATGGTGTGCCGCTTATACACCAAAATATTCATGTACTGACAAATAGAAGGATCTGATGCGATCTCACTGGAAACTTTGTTGATCCATCACCATCCATTCCCCGCTGCAATAATGGACACACTTTTTAGACCAAAGGTCACTAGTCCAACGGCATCGCTTCCACTGCCTCTGTGCCTCGAGTAAGCCAGGAAACTGGAATTGTATACTATCCATTGGGTGGATTGATGTGGGCTCCAGATCAAAATTGCGGGCATGGTTTTTCCTCCAATGGAACAGCGTCATTTGGTGTTTTCTTGACCTATATGTGACAGTGATCACTATCTTGCCGTTTATTATGCACGGACCAACTGTAGTCCCGCCACAGTAATCCGACGGTGATGCGAGTCCTCATAACGCGATCGTCACCTGTGACCGCCAGCGGAGCGCCGTATTACCTCCGCCAGTTCAGTGAACAACGTCGCGGTGCTCCATTCGTCCTTTCACATAAATATTTTTCCGGTTCATCTGGCCTTCTTCTTCCGTTTCTCTCCCTGGTTCCAATCCCGTTCGCCAGGAGAAGCGGCGGAGAGACGGAGGGAGCGCTGAAGATGGGATCTTTGCGTAAAAAGGTTCGATTTTGCGCTTCCGTTGTTCTTCTCTTGCTCTCGTTCCTGCTCCTACTTGGCTCCCTCTCGCTCGTCGGGGCGACGGACATCCCCCTCGGTTCTACTCTCTCCCCCTCGAACGCCTCCTCCTGGTCGTCCCCGACCGGGACCTTCTCCTTCGGCTTCTTCTCCGATCGGCAGAGCCCCTCGCTCTACCTTGCCGCCATCAGCTACTCCGGCGGCATTATTGTCTGGTCTGCCGGTGGCAGCGGCAGCGGCTCCGTCGACTCAGCCGCCTCCCTTCAGCTCCGCGCCGACGGAAACCTCTGCCTCGTCAGTGGCTCCGGGGCTCTCGTCTGGGAGTCCGGAACCGCCAGCAAAGGCGTCTCCGCCGCCGCCCTCCTCGATTCCGGCGACTTCGTGCTCAAGAACTCCACCGCCGTCGTCTGGGACACCTACGACAACCCCACCGACACCATCCTCCAGTCACAAAACTTCACCTTTGGCCAGGTACTGCGCTCCGGCGTCTACTCCTTCTCTATTCTCCAGAGCGGAAACCTCACCCTAACGTGGAACGATAGCATCACTTATTTCAACAAGGGGTTCAACTCCACCTTCACTGCCAACAAATCCCTTGCTTCCCCGGTGTTGACCCTCCAAGCCAATGGAATCGTGTCGCTCTCCGATGCATCACTTTCTACCGCAGTGGTCATCGCTTACAGCAGCGATTACGGCGAGAGCGACGACATCATCCGGTTTGTGAAGCTGGACTCCGACGGAAATCTGAGAACTTACACTGCCGTCAGAGGTGCCGCCGTCGCCTCGCGGCAGTGGGCGGCTGTCGCGGACCAGTGTGAGGTCTTCGGATGGTGCGGCAACATGGGAATCTGTAGTTACAACGATACGTCTCCTACCTGCGGTTGCCCGTCTAGGAATTTCGACTTCGTCGACCCAGATGATCACCGGAAGGGTTGCAAGAGGAGGACCGAGATCCAGGACTGCCCAGGGAACTCTACCATGCTGCAGCTCGATCACACCCAGTTCTTGACATACGCGCCGGAGATCTCCTCCGAGCAATTCTTCGTTGGCATCACCGCTTGCAGGTTGAACTGCCTCTCGGGGGGCTCCTGCGTCGCTTCCACTGCGCTCGGTGACGGATCGGGATTCTGCTACCTGAAGGCGTCCAATTTCGTCAGCGGGTACCAGTCGACGGCGCTCCCCAGTACTTCCTTCGTCAAAGTGTGCGCACCAGCTCTCCCAAACTCCCCATCTCCGCCGGGAGAGCTCCGCTCGCGGTCCTCCAATCTGAAGGGTTGGCTGGTTGCCGTTCTGGTTTTTGGCACTGTCTCGGGGTTGATGCTCTTCGAGTGGGGGTTGTGGCGGTGCTTTTGCCGGAACGGCGCAAGATATGGGCCATCATCGGCTCAGTACGCGCTCCTCGAGTACGCCTCCGGTGCCCCGGTGCAGTTCTCATACCGCGAGCTGCAGAAGTCGACCAGGCGATTCAAGGAGAGACTTGGGGAAGGAAGCTTCGGCGCCGTATACAAAGGGGTCCTCGCGAGCAGGACAGCGGTCGCGGTGAAGCAGCTCGAGGGGATCGAGCAAGGCGAGAAGCAATTCAGAATGGAGGTGGCAACCATAAGCAGCACCCACCACTTGAACCTGGTCAGGCTGATCGGATTCTGCTCGGAAGGACGGCACAGACTTCTGGTCTACGAGTTCATGAAGAACGGCTCGCTCGACAGCTTCCTCTTCTCCGGTGAGTCCTCCTCGGGCAAGCTATCGTGGTCGACGCGGTTCAGTATCGCAGTCGCGACAGCCAGAGGCATCACATACCTGCACGAGGAATGCCGGGATTGCATCGTCCACTGCGACATCAAGCCAGAAAACATCCTCCTCGATGAGAATTACAACGCGAAGGTTTCGGATTTCGGTCTTGCAAAACTGGTCAACGCGAAAGACCACAGGCAAAGGACTTTGACGAGCGTTCGGGGGACCAGAGGGTACTTGGCTCCCGAATGGCTTGCGAATCTCCCGATCTCATCCAAGTCGGATGTGTACAGCTTCGGAATGGTGTTGCTGGAGATCGTGAGCGGGCGGCGCAACTTCGATGTTTCGGATGACACTGGCCGGAAGAAGTTCTCGGTGTGGGCGTACGAAGAGCTGGAGAAGGGAAACATCAAGAGCGCAATGGACAAGAGGCTCGCCGAGCAGGACGTGGACATGGAGCAGCTGAAGAGAGCGCTACTGGTGAGCTTCTGGTGCATCCAGGAGCAGCCCTCGCAGAGACCGTCGATGGGGAAGGTTGTGCAGATGCTGGAAGGGGTTTTGGCCATAGACAGGCCTCCGGCTCCGAAGGCCGCAGACGGTGGTTTGGCGGCTGTCACTAGCAGCAGCGCGAACACCAGCATCACCGTTTTCGTTACGTCATCTCCGGCTCAGCCTTCGTCGAGCTCATCGCATTCGATTGCAAGCTCCTCATTGGTTTCCAAGAGGAACTTGGACGAACCAACGTCATCCCCGGTGGTCGTCGCAGACCAATCTTCCTCGTAGAATGCTATGGAGACTCGAGGTGTTCGATCTGAATCGTGTATGACCGATTACATGGAACCAAAGAAGCACTTGGAAGTCTGCTACATCAGTTTCTGTACAGTATTAAATTTGTAGTCATGTAATGTACTATGAGGCGATTTCTCATCATATCTGTCAAGTTTATTTGAGATAATTGAAGCTGATCGCTATATTTGTAAGAATAGCTCGAATGAAGCAAGCATGAATGATCTAAGAACTGCAATTTTGTTGCACAGAATGAGAGCATTCACTCTTTCTTTGTGTGTGTCTATATATTAATTCGTCTAACAAAAAAAAGGAAACTGATAAATGGTGTGAAGCACAGGTTTGGTCGTATAAAATGCGACATGTTTTCAATCTTATGCATTAAGGTATCATTAAACGGAGATATGACAAATAGAAAACCATTGATATGTCATCCTCACATAATGATAGGTCACCTTTACATGATTGACATGACATGCTATGTGGGGCCCGACTCTATAAGATTACCAACGTGGACATTACAAGGAAGTCGATTGAAATCGATTCAAATATGATGTTGACCATGTAGTATTGTTGACTGAAAAGTTGATTTAGTAAATCATTATTTTGTATCTCTATGTACAACTTCACTTAATGGCCAGATGATGCGTATAATGATTCCTACACGATCTCGACCAAACGATTCTTTATTGTACTATAAAAAATTTCCTTTGATACATTTTTAGCAATGAATACTATTTAACTAAATACATTGATCGAATCCGAATCTATACAAACTTAAACATTAAATAGAATATTATCAGATATACTTTTAATGTTGCTCTTTGTCTTATATTTAACCCTTTTTTTTAATACATGTTGGTGAATCTTTACGTCGTGATTGAGATGTCAGCACGACTCGGTCCAGTCCCGGATATACAAAGTTACCTACGTGGATGCTCGGGTGGTGAGGGGGAGCGTCATCCCCCGAGCGTGGTCTTCTCTCTTGGCGAGTGGTCTGCTTCTTCGTCGCTGGACTCCTGCACACAGGTCGAGGTCGGGAGGAGGATTTTCCAACTCGACCCATCCGAAGTTTAAGTTAGCTTTTTGCGGAATGAGAGAGAGTTGAGGGTTCGAAGTCTCTCCAGTCCCCTAGCTCTGACCAAGTGGCAAGCTTTTATACCTGTATACGGGGAATGGTCGTACCCCATACGTTAATGATCACCGACCCCTTAAGCGATTGGCCCATGCCTCTATGCTCGACGGCGTCGTTCCTGTCGATGTGTGTGGATCGTCCTCGAGCGACGCCGTCCCGATCATTCTGGGGCGGCTCTATACTCGATGGTATCATTCCGATCGACGTGTGTGGATCGTCGTTAAGCGACGCCATCTCGATCATTCCGGTTGGCTCTCTACTTGATGGTGCCACTCTAGTCGATGTGTTCGGATCGTCCTCGAGCGGTGCCGACCCGATCATTCCGGGGCGGCTCTGTACTCAAAACGGTGCCATTCCGGACCTTCCGAGGTAGCTTTGTACATAACAGCATCACTTATACGGTCCTACACAAGCTGTGATGGGGGGGGGTGGGGTTGCGGGGTGAGGAGGCGGAAGAGGGAGAGGACGGTCGCATTGTCTGAGTTGTCGACGTGGTCTGTCACATCGGCTTGTAATTTTCACATCGGTGCTGTTGTGGCTATGGTATGCTATCATATTATGCCCTATCATTCTCTTCCCCCCACATGAGTCATGCTTCGGGCATCTCATGGAGGGGTTCGGGGCATGGCTTAGCTTCTTCACGGTGGTTGGTCCAATCGTCTTATTAGGGGCAATCGGTTCAGTTGTGTTGGGAAAAACCTATTAAAGCGGAATAATTCTTTTCCCTCTTTATGTATCAAAATGGGTTTCTCATTAAAATATCAACTTGATATCAAAATGCTAATATCAACCAGAATAACATAAATAGTAGAGCAATAAATCAATCACACAGTGAGACTAAATTTTTAACATGAAAAACCTAATACGGAAAAAATCACGGGACCATAGTCCACCTCAAACTTCCGCTATCAATAGTAATGATAACAGGTTTATAGTAAATCTTCTCTAGAATAACCAGCGGATCACAATAACATCAAGAACATAGATCTTGGCTCAATAATAGCATATTATCATCACATAGGATGAATCTCATCAAAAGAGAATTCTATATCTCACAAAGTAGGTATAGTAGGAAAGTATCTCAGAGAGGATAAACTATAGATCAACACTATTAGGATTATAGAGTTTGCTGTGAGGATTCTTTGCAACAAATTTGGGCTAAAACCGATAAAGTTTAACCTCCAATCATCAAGCAGAAAACTCAGAAACCTTACTTTCTCTCTCCTATTTCTCTTTCTCTTATTTCCTCTCTTTCTTTGCGTGCCGCTATTCTCAAGCTGCAAGAACGCACGTTGCCCTCTCTCATATTTGTCATCCTATCTCTTTTCTTTTTCTTTTAATTAATGATTTGGGCTCAAAAAGCCCAATTATCCAAGCCCACATATGGGCTGGACCTATTAATTCTCTTCCTCCAGCTCAGATGATGGAGTTGGACAATTGAGCCTTTTGAGCTCAAATCGGTAAAAGGTGAGGGCAGTGAGCGTGCACAGTGAGCAGGGACGATGCACGGTGAGAGAAAAGGCAGAGAAAGAAAAGAAGAGAAGAAAAATAGGATTATGAGTTTTCTACTTGATGATCAGAGGTTAAACTTTATCAAGTTTAGCCCAAATTTTATATGGAGAATCCTTGCAGCAAACTCTATAATCCTAATGGTGTTAATCTATAGTTTACCCTCTCTGAGGTACTTTCCTGTGATATCAATTTTGTAAGACCTAAAATTCTCTTATGATAAGATCCAAAGATATGCTATTCGTGAGTCAAGATATATGATCTTGATGTTATTGTGATCTTCTTGCTATTCTAGAGAAGACTTATTGTAAACCTGTTATCATTACTATTGATAGTGGAAGTTTGAGGTGGACTACGGTCTAGTGGTTTTTCCCGCATTGGATTTTTCACGTTAAAAATTTGGTCTCACTGTGTGATTTATTTAATACTCTACTGTTTATGCTATTCTGGTTGATATTTATATTTTGATATCAAGTTGGTATTTTGATATACAAAGAGAGAAAAAAATTATTTCACTTTAAAAGATTTTTCCCAATAAGTGGTATCAGAGTAATAGGTTATTTGGTGCTAGTTTTTCTTGTGTGATTGAAATGGAGCAATCACATGGTATGATTAAATTGAACACATCAAATTATTTCACTTGGAGGCGTGTGATGAAAGATTTACTTTATTGCAAAGATTTGTATAAGCCCATCAAGGTTAAAGATAAACCTTCTATTATGGATGATGAGGAATGAAAAGTTCAACATAGAAAAGCTATTGCCTATATTAGAAGATGGATGGATATAAATTTGCATAAGAATATTTCTAATGAAACTAAAGCTGATGTTGTTTGGCAAAGGTTAGAAAACCTCTGCGAAAAAGATAGTGGGAAATAGAATTTCTCTCCTCAGAAGACTTGTAAATTTAAAGTATAAAGATTGTGGTAATATTGTTGAGCATATAAGCCTATTTCAAAGTCTTGCAAATAAGCTGGTTGCTATGAAAATGAATATGAGAATGAAATGCAAGGATTATTACTTCTCAACTCTTTACCAGAAAGTTGAGAAATATATGTGGTGACAATTTGTAACTCCACGCCATAGGGGACTCTAACTATAGATATGGTTAAAGATAGTTTGCTAAATGAAGATGCTAGAAGGAAAGAACAAGGTGAATATTCTTTTAGTGGATTTGTTACTAAAAAATAAGAAAGACGTGGAAGAAGTTATAGCAGAAATCCATATGGTTATAGAGGAAGATCCAAGTCTAGAAAAGATATCAAATGTTTCCACTATAACAGACTAGGTCACATGAAGAAAGAGTGTAGGTTTTGGAAGCGAGAACAGAATGAAAGGAAGAAAAATGAGAAAGAGACCAATACAATTGCTGCTGACGGTGATATCATTATTGTTTGTGATGACGATTATGTCAGTCTTGTAGCTTAGGATAGTAACTGGATAATTGACTCTGGTGCTTCATTTCATATTACTTCTCATGGCGATTTTTTCAGATCTTACACTACTAGTGATTTTGGTAATATCAGAATGAGAAATAGTGGTACATCTTAGATTGTGGGTATTGGAGATATTTGCTTAGAGACCAGTATTAGGAGCAAATTGATACTCAAAGATGTAAGGCATGTTCCAAATATTCGTCTTAACTTAATATCTACAAGTAGACTTGATGATGAGGGCTTTGCACATTATTTTGGTGAAAGCAAATGGAAACTCACTAAAGGTTCTCTAATTGTGACAAGAGGAAAGAAGCCTAACTCTTTTTATATCATGAAAGCTAAGCTACATAAAAGAGAAATTAATGTAATTTAGAAGGGTGAAAGTATAGATATTTGGCACAAGAGGTTTGGTCATATCAGCGAGAAGGGACTTCAAACTCTTGCTAGAAAGCAAATCTTACCAGAGTTACAAGGTACATCTCTTAAATCTTGTGATCATTACTTAGCTGAAAAAACACATAGAGTTGTCTTTCATACATATCCATCATCTAGAAAATCAAATGTTATTGATTTAGTTCATATTGATGTTTGTACTATGCAAACTAGAACTCTTGGAGATGCTCTTTATTTTGTTATTTTTATTGATGACTGTTCTAGAAAAGTATGGGTTTTTACTTTGAAATCTAAAGACAAGGTACTTGATGTTTTCAAGGAGTTTTATGTCAATATTGAAAGAGAAACTAGTAGAAAGCTAAAGTGTGTTCGATCAGATAATGGTGGTGAGTATAAGGGTCCTTTTGAGAATTATTGTAGGTTCCATGGTATCAGACTTGAGAAAACAGTTCGTAAAACTCTTTAGCAGAATGGTGTAGCAGAAAGGATAAACAGAACCATTAAAGAAATGATTAGATGTATGCTTTCCCATGCCAAGTTACCTAAGTCATTTTGGGGCGAGGCTATAAGAATTACAATTGACCTGATAAATCTTTCTCCATCAGTTCCTCTGAAAAGTGATATTCCAGAGAGAGTATAGAAAGAAAAAAATATATCTTATAATTACTTAAGAGTCTTTGAGTATAAAGCATTTGTTCATATTCCCAAAGATGAGAGGTCCA